ATATATAAGAAATAATTACAGTGCAGTATAAAAACGTAGAGATATTAAACACTCTTACCATTTTTACTTTTGTCCAGGTCAAAGTTCCCCGCTCTACCGTCGCGTTGCGGATCGCTAAACGTCTTCTTTTTGAAGAGAGGTGTACTGGTTGAAAGCGATAAGCCCAATGGCGGTGGTTCTCCCAGCGAGACAGACTTCTGATTCTTCACGCTTTCCAAAGTTCCGCTCTTGTGGCATCTGGCCTCCAAGGTGCCACTGCTACTGTGCTGCCTGGGGGAGGATTGTGCGGTGCTCGCCGGCGTCTGGGCGGCCGAACGATGATGATGTCTATGCGGCGAGTCCAACAAACGATAACCAGTCGATTCCAAAGAAGTCCTACTGTGCGAGACGGAACTGTCACTGGATCTACCAGAGTCTTGCGAGTGATTGTGCTGCCTGGTACGTGCCGCAGGTACGTCATGGTGCCTGTGATGCCTATTATTGTGATGATGATGATGGTGATGGTGTCGCCTCGTTGATGGAGACGGGGAAGGAGGAGAAGTCTGAAGATCTATGCCGACCGTAGAAGTCCGCGTTTTGTTCGCATTACCAAGAGAAAGAGCTTGCTACGAGAGAAAACGTAGCTATGCAGAATCTCGAAAAGTTAATGTATCGCGTCAAAATAATTGCAGAAAAATTAAATTTACCAAAGGCGGGGCCAAATTCGTATTCTCCTGATGGTTAAATCGCGTTGACCGGCTAACTGAAGGTGTTTGCGTCTGCGTCGAAACTGATTCCTTTTTCCTCTGTTCGGTTGTTTTATGAGTATCGGACGTGCTACCACTTGCTGGTTCCGTATTTTGTTTTAATGTCTACAATACAAATATAAAAATATCTGGATAAATTAATGAATGGTAAATGTAACTATATACTAATAGTAAAATGTCAACTTTTTATAGATAATTGATTAATGTGATAGCAGTCTTATATCTCTATAAAAAATAACGAAGGATATAGTAAACATCATAAAAAGTAAATGTTTATGTATAAAACATATGAAAAAGCATAATTTATTGTACATTATTGCAATGTGTGTGCGCATGTGAATTAAATATAATCTCATCCAAAAAATTTGTAACCCGTTATATTTCGGCATACAGGTGGGTACTTCGTAACATACACATATATTCACGAGACATCTGGCACTCGTATTCTCGTCAAATTTTAATTGAAGAAATAACATTATCGCGAAAGAAGTTTCATGGTAGTAGCATGGTATAATATAAACCGGAGTTTTTTCTCCCTGCTACAAACGTCTATTTATAGCTGAGAAGAGAGCAGACACGCTTGCACACACTCTTACATATCTACGCCACTTTAAGATACACAAGTTCTGTAATGTGCGTTACTCGGAGAAACTCACGAATCATTACGCACACATCGTGGCGCACGCAAGAGCGTACGCCGAATACTTGTAGATTTGACCCGATCCATAAGCGTGAGTACAGATTCTGACAAGTACAAATAAGAGTACGATCTTATCTGTATTCTAACGCTCGATAACTTAACTTATGCCATACAATTCACATGCACACACATATACGCGCTCGCACGCAACTCTCATATTATATGGGAGTAAATCATATCGGGAACATATCGGCGATACACATATCGCATAAATGTTTTTTTTACCTGAAGTTTCGCCAATGGTATGATGTCACAATCGGTCGGGCGATGCCACACAGTTTTCTGAGACGTCGCGTTATAATAATAAAATCGCGAGGTATTCTGATCAAATAATTCCCACCACTGATTGTTGTCCGTCTTTTTCCTACAAATTATTAAATGGGACATGCATGTACTATGTTTCGTGATGTAGAAGAAGGTGACTTGGTACTTTCTCTCTAACATAACTTTCTCTAAAATAATTATACAATGGAACTAATATACGATATACTTTGAGATAATTCATTAATATATATGTATAATTAAACTAAGTATGCCAAGAGTATAGTCGAGATTATATTATCTTATTACAATGAAACATTATAGATTCAACTTGCTTTTAAAATATTAAACATATATTATCTGTGTAATAGGGTTTTGAAAAATAATATAAATCTATTATAAAAAACATATCTATAGAAGACTAACTTTTTTTTTTTTTTTTTTTTAAATTATCTAATAGTGAGAGAAGTACTTCGAAAGAAGCTCTGAGAGAAGACAATTTGAACTAGCTATTGAAGAAGATACAGATACGTATAAAGGAATAGCTTACACAGGTACACCCGGTGGAGGATCCCATACGCATTCTCCGGTGGTCAGGTTAGCGTACATATGTTCCTTAGTGCGTGGTTCTATGATCTCCACCCATTCCATCCTACTGTAATTGTCATCCATTAATATCTACGTGTTCCGGGAAAAAAATCTAATATTATCTATATTCGCGAATCTCTATCACTATTCTAAGATAACCAGGGACAAACTGTATCAAACTTTACGCAACAGCTCTAAATCGCTCTTTTCCCTTAAACTTTCACTTCTTACTATTCGCGTCTTCGAGACGGTCCTTATCACTTGAAAAAATGGCGTGTAATATTTATACACTTTTAACGATAATATCGGGATAAGGCGGGATCGATATGTCAAAAGTGTAGCGCGCGGACAGAAATATCGTCGCGATGCAATAAAAGATCGCGATAGCACACCCGTGTATAGCTTTCTTTTTTTTTTATTTATTCTTACACTATATTTCGCGACGTCGAAACACCGTCACAATTTCTCCAGGAAACTCCGAATTCAGGGTAAAAGAGGAAGATATAGGGCGATACTAAGTACGTGTATACATGTTAAAACAAGCGTAATATCGGTGAACTAATTGGAACGGCAAACGATTCGAGATCTCGAGGAAAAAAAAAATAAAAAATCACCCTCACCAGGCAGATCGACGGAGACAGAAGGGAGGCTGGAAAACGGTGGGAGGGAAGCAGGGGAACCGTTCGAGATTCGCAACGAGCGACGATACTCTCGACCGGAGGCCAACGGAGGGCGATGATAATCGGGGCACACGAAGGAGGGTGTTTCGCCCGTCCACCCACCTCACTCCACCTCGCCCTGACGGACCCCGCAAATTGATAGGAATGCTGGGCCGCGGTACGAGAGAGACCGTCCGTTCTGATGTCATGCTGGCCGTTTAATTGACTGAAATAGGCCGCGGTAATCCATTCGCGCGTAAATCGAGAGCGCACACGCTCGCGCGCGAGGAAGAAAGGAAAAGAGAGAAGGCGGAATGCGGAGGAAACGGAGGAAGAAAAAAAAAAGGGAAAGACGGAAGA